TGGCAAAGTCACAGGAATAGGAAGTATTACAGCAGAGAGTTAATATCAAAGAGTATCATCTTATTATCTCTTTCTCTTTTTTTTTTTTTTTCTTTAATTGCCTGTCTGTCAAGAATCCAAGTACTCATTGTTATGGTGAATGAAGGCCTAGGCCCAGCTGCAAATACAAACATCAGACTTGAAAGCAAAAGAGATGCTGTCTACATAGCGGTAGAAACTCAACCTGTGACATTTTTTGCTTGGCTGCACAATGATCCACTTTCAACAGTGGAGTAGAAAAGGCTGTTCAGGAGCAGCATGTGAGTGTGGTGGCTGTGCATTCCCTGGTACTTCCTCATGGCAAATTAAAGGGACCACTTACAGCTACACTGTCCTAGAATTTGTCTATTCTCTTCTTTTTTGTGCTTCTGATGCTGTCTGCCTGTACAATCTCTTGTGAGAGCAAACTTCATAAAATCACTACCTGCTATGTAAAGATGTGCTACTTCTTAATCTTTGCTAAGCTGATCTCAATGTAGTTTTGTCACATTCCTCCTTGTCATAATGTTGTGGGCTTTGGTGAGCTATAGTTCTGCAGTCACCTTACTTTTCCTTAATGCTTTTTAAAACATTCTTTGTATCACCCCCTTGGTCTACTGCTCTTCAGTCTCTTGTTTTGAGGCAGCTACTGTTCTGTGAATCATTTGTGTTGTCCTTCTCTGTACCTTCTCTTAACCCCATTTCAGGAGTTAGAGAGAGCAGAACTGTCTGACACAACAGTGTTATAGAGCAGCAAAATTATATTCTGTCTTGGGTTTGTTGCTTTTCTTAGTGATAGGCAAAATTGCATGGCATTTCTGGCTGTGGTTTAGCTTAGAGAACTGTGAACTGTGACTCACAGATCTCTTCTTTACTCAAAGTTGATGTGAGAATTTAATGAGGTTTAGCTTTTTCCTTGAAAGAGCTTTCAGTTCACATCCTGCCCCTTTTCCCAATTTAGCTCTAATAATATTTCTTCCATATTCTTTGGTGGGAAGCCTTGTCGAAGGCTTTCTAAAAATCCAGGTCTACATGGTCCTAATTTACCTACTTGCTTTCCTCTACACCTCCTAAACACATGGTAGGTAGCAGGGCAGTATTTTCCTTCACACTGTCCTACCAGGAGTGAATGTTAGTATCAGTGGCCCTTTTGGGACCTTGGAGGCTCCCAGGTCAATGCCACCTGGCCCACATGACTTAGTGATTTTTCTGGTCTTGTACTTCCCTACATGCCCTCCACGTCGATGCAGCTGTTCTAATATTTGGAGAACATGGTGTGTGACATACCACCTCATCATCTTCATTGGTAAAGACAGATGCTGAGGATTTGGTGAGCTTTTTTCCTGTGGCCTTCTTATCCTTGGGTATCCTTTTCACACTTCTGTTGGAAAATGATCCTGCCGACCTGCTAGTTGTGTTTCATCTTTCAAAGTTTTATGAACATTTTAGTCTCAGCATGAGCATCTGTTGCAAGGTTATCTTAAAATTCTTCTTCACACTCCTAATTTCCTGTTTGCATCTGACTGCCCTGTTCTGTGGCCTTTCATGTTCTCATTTTCATCCTCCTCACTTTCAGAAATTTCCTCATGTTCTCTTATTCACTCCTGACACATTTTGAACAGCATGTCCACTTATTTACCTGAAAAGAAGTAGAGGGTAGACTTTAATAATTTAGTATTTTTGTTTGTAGTTGCCAATAATGGGTCCACAATTAGTTTATTATTTTCTAAATTCAGAATATTTTCCCCATTCTTTCTGTCTTTCTGGCAGCAATGGAAGTAAAAAATTTACCTTTGCAGAAATGTGGGGCGTTACAAACATGAGTGAGTGAGGAGTAAGGCAATGTGGTTGGTTTTCTTTTAAATAAAAACAGTTGGTTTGACTTTTCAGGTGTTATGTACTGGACATTTAAAAATCTGCTGATACAAAAAGGATGTTCTTCATTTTTAGTGACCTGAATACCCACAAATACAATTTGGTTTTTGTCATTTTTTTGGAGATTTTGGAGATGCAGAGTTACATTTGACATTCTTGGATAATTGGACATATGTGTTCCTTAATTTTATGAAAAACGACTCTGATTTTTATAATTAGATTCCTTCTGGAAGATATACCACCGTGGAACACTGTGATGTAGTAATTGTAATATTGTCAATAATTTTCTTTACTAGTGGCTAAAATAGTAAAGATTGTTAGGTATTCTATTCTGTTCTAATTATAGTTCTATACTTCTAGAGGGACATTGTATTACTAGATGACACGAGATGCAGGATGGGGAAGTTCTGAGGTTTTGGCAAGCTGATGGGATCTAGTTCTGTAAAAGGGAGAAGTAGTGTGGGATTGTGGGACCTGTACTTCTTGTTTCTCCTAAATTACAGTAGGAAAGAAGTTAATGTAATTGGAGTGATTATTGCTTGTGCTTCAGATTTAATGTCCAGCTGGGATTAATTATAAAATGGCTTCTCAGAACAGTGAGATCTTGGAGCACTGTCTTAATTGCCATGGGGAGAAGAAAAAGAACTACTTTCTTAAGGTATAGTTATAGCCTGATCATTGCTTTTGAAAAACTTAACGTGACCTGTGCATAGGAAATAATGAGGACCCAAATTCAACAACTTGGGAGGTCCCTTCCGATCTGAAATTACTGGAAATGCCCTTACTTGGTATAGGCTCAGGAAAGCATTATTAGCGGATTACTTAATGACTCATTGGCAGATGGAATTTTAAACATTTTAGAGTCTAAATAAAGTTAATTAAGGGTATTGGGCTAAAGCTTTGTGCTCAGTTTTGATGCCTGCAGCCATGAATTTTTCTATTTAAGATGGTCAGACCTCAGCTCAATATAGTTTTTGTGGTAAAATGTAAATTTCATGTGTGTACATCATTAAGTACTTCTACTTCTTGAGTAAATGTTTACCAGATTTTTAAAAAAATTTTATGCAAAAATAAATTATGTAGACCTTGCAAGGTTATTTACTGCCAGCTTTTGGAAGCTAATTTCAAATGGCTGCCTTGCCAAATAAATTTAATTTTGAAGGTTTGCTATTGTTATTATTAATTATTAGGGATATTGGTGTTTAAGGAGTAAGTAGAAATAGGAGACAATGGTTTAGTAGGGATAAAAATGACAAGATAGAGTTAACTAATTCTTTAGTGAGTAATACATCAATGTTATGTTTTTTTAGCACAGTTTAAAAGTCCCAAAAGTATTAAGCAAAATGTATGTTCTGTGTCTCCTAGCAAAACTAGCGCACTTTAGGAAGTGTGGATTTCCTTCCATTTTGGAAATTTTCCCAATTAGTCAGTGTCTGTCATTAATGTGGAGTACCTTGGAACTTCTCTAATCTTAACATCCTCTGACCTTTGAGAAACACATAAGTCATCTGCTCCCGTCCTTGTGATGAGCTTCCAAAATCTCAGAGCGTGATATGAAGCACAGGTGCTGCATGGCTACAACAGACAGCTTTGAAGAAGTGCTTGTATTTGCTAACTGATTAAATCTATTTATATCATGGAAAGCTAGCTTATCTTGGGGTCTGATCAGAAAATTGCAAAGTGTCTTAAAATAGTGTGTGGTGAGCAGACCCTTTCCACTGGGAATTGCTATCCCTTTGCTAGAACTGGAGGGCTCAGACTGAATCCATTCGTCCAGGCTGCTGGCATGTGAAGCAAAGTTTGACAAATCTAAACTTTCAGCTACAATGTTTGATTGGAGAAGGTTGCTTTTCTGAGAGCATTAATTCAATTGCTTTGTGGTCGTTGGACCGCATTTTTGGTTTGTGACGTTAGGACTATCTAAATGAAGGGTGGGATCTCTGTACATAACAGCAATGGTTCTCATTTCGAGGAAATGGTAGGAACTGTAAAGTGCTTTCTGCTTTTTCTGTGTTTTTTTTTATTACTTGCATTAAAGTTCAAGAGAATTTCACATCTGATAATAGATGTTTATAAACTTCAGGTCAGGTCTTGGTTAATTTTCCAGAAGCTCTAGAATAACTTCAAATTATGTTTGTCCCACATTATCTAAAAATTGTATTATAAGATTCTTATCATGTTATTATGTTACAAATGGTAAATAATTTAGAAATAGTAATAATTTTGCAATACAATATCCAGACATACTCGCTTTTTCTCACACACCTCTTGTGTGCTTCACCACTGAAGAAAATTTGAGATTTGTGCAATTATTATTCGGTTCATGTCGTTTTGTCTGATTAAGTGGAGAATTTCTCTAATTGGATGAATCCCATACACACTGGTGCAAACAGCATACACCTTTGAAATATACTAGTTTGCCTCTTACTCATTTCAAAAAATGGGATTTATATAGACAGGATTCAGTATGCAGTGGAAAGGTTTGGATCAGTGAGTCATATTTTGCCTAAAAGGATTTGCATGGTAAAAATATCCTTATCTGTTACTGTTCTCACACTTTCTAGATAATAATTATCTCTAATGGTTAGCTGATTTCATGCTGAAGGCTTCAGTTCAGCAACACATTCAAAGTCTTGCGTGACTTGCATCAGACTGGATTATTCCCCCTTATTTTAAAGTAATTCTTGTGCTTGAATCAGATACATTTAAGTACCCTGTTGAATTAGTATCTGTGTGGAAATTGTTTTTCTCCTCAACATAATCAATTTTGGAACTTGAAATTGCCTTCTGTTGATGGTTTAAGTATTTTTTTCCCACGTTGTGCCACCATCAGTTGTTGTTCGGTTTAATATTTGTGGCTTTGCAGCTATCCAGACAATTGAATTATTTGCAGTTTACATGTAAAATTAGCATTTTGCCAACATTGTAATTCTTTAAAAAGTAGCAATGCAAAATCTGGTAGTCCAAAGAATTAGTCTCTATTTAATGTGAATAAATAACTTTTCAATTTACAGTTATATTGAGGTGTAACATAAATTTTTAAAAGTGTAACTTTAATTGACATGTGCAGCTGTTTCTACATGTTTCTATATTTTAATATTTTTCAGACAAGTATAAAAGAAGGATTACTACTGAAGCAAACCAGCTCTTTTCAGAGGTGGAAAAAGCGTTATTTCAAACTTCGAGGTCGTACCCTTTACTATGCTAAGGATTCAAAGGTAATTCTGTGCTATTAGTGTCTAATGCCTTTTACTTGTGACTTCAGTTTTGTTTAGTTTTATAAGTTTAATACATTTAATAAGTTTAATAATAATAATTTAATGATTTGTTCACAGTTGTATTATGTAAAAACTGCTGTATATAGGATGTAATGGGTTAAATTAGCTTAAAGAAAGATTGGTAATTTCTCTTGATTTTTTTCATATGGAGTTTATCACAGTTATTTTAACCTTTTTGTCTATTCAGATAAATAATAAAGTCATTTTAAGGGGCTGTGGGTTTTTTTTGTGGCTCTCAGACAGTCAAAAAAAGTAATAACTGGATAATGCTTAAAAGTTATCACTAAGGCTGCATTCAATTAAAACTTTTCTGCTCTGATGCCCATAGAAATAGTTATGTGAAATCAAGATAGGCTGATTTTCTGCCAAAACTGATATACAGGGGAAAAAGCTGTTTCCCATCTATTGGATTTTTTTGGTGGGAGAACTGGAGGTGGGCAGAGGGGAATACTTATCTTCTCTTTGAAAGGCATTTCCTTCCTCCCTCCCAAGGCTGGGGCCAAGAGCATTATGGCTAACTCAGATTGTGCTGTTTTATAGCTGTGGGTGTTACTCTCCTTTACCCTGTGGGGTTGCAGCATCTCATAGGAGCTGTAGGTGAGGTTCTTCAGGTCTCCATCATCTTCTATGGCCTTCTTTTCTCCACAAAACTCTTAGTAAAGGCGCAGAGATTTCTCCTTGTGGGACTGTAGGACTGCAGCTGCATGGTGCACTGTTGTGTGGCTATAATGAGTCAAGGAAAGCACCATTGCTTCAGGGAGCCCAGTGCTGCGGGACCTCTGTTGTCAAACTGCTCAGCAATTGGTGAGACCACGAGCAGTTTATATAAAACATAAGCATGGCAGATAAGAACTCTGAGAAGGGCAACCTCAAATCACAGTACAATGCTGAGATATTTTGAAAATGTGAGCCTGCCATGTTAGATGAGGAATATGGAATATTTTGGGTCTCTGTTGGTCTCACTCCAAGACGTCTGTGCCCTTCTACCTTGGGAACCATGGAACTGTTGTAGCGTGTCCAGAGGAGAGACCCAAAGATGAGCAGAGGGCTGGAGCACCTCTCTTATGAAGACCGGCTGACAGATCTGGGACCTTGTAGCAGCCTTCTAGTACCTAGGAGAGGTACAAGGGAGCTGGAGAGGAGCTTTTTACAAGGACATGTGGTCACAGGACAAGGGGGAATGACTTTAAACTGAAAGGGGATCCATAATATCCATATGTGGATATTGGGTAGGAAGATGCTTTTTACTGTTGGGATGGTGAGACATTGGCACAGGCTGCTCAGAGAAGCTGTGGATGCCCTGTCCCTGGAAGTGTTCAAGGCTAGGCTGAATGGGGCTTTGAGCAACCTGGACCATGGCAGGGGGGTTGATCTTTAAGGTCCCTTCCAACTAAGACCATTCTGCTATTCTGTGATTCTGTGATAAAGATGAGAAAAGAAGGTCTTACAAGTAGGCAGTTGTGCCAATACTCAAAGGCATGCTGAATCCAGACATGCTGAAATTCCCCCAATATTGATTCACCTCCCTGTGGCATGGAAGAGGAAAAACATGCTAGGGCTAAAAAAATAGGCCTTTTTGTTGGTCTGCTCTTCTGTGCTACAAAACCCATCATGAGCATAATAGAACCTAATTGATTCTTTGCTAGAGGATGGAGTGTTTAGGGTAGACATAAATTTCTCTTGTTTGAACATCAGACGAAGGAGTGGAGGGGATCAGTTCAGCACTTTGAGATGCATCTTCTCATATGGATACTATATCATAGCTTCCTACATGACTTTAGGGTTCCATCCTAAAACTAAATACATTTTACTGTGTGGGAATCTCTTTCCTCTGACACCATGTTTATGCTGCACAGTAGACACTCTAAAGCTTCATCTATGTAAGAAACCCCCCTTCTTTTAAAAGGGATTTTAAAGCAATATAATTATTGAGCCCTTTTTTTATGCTCTCATGTACCATTTAGAATAGCAAGTAGGACTGTGTTTAGGGCCAGTTATGAAATTTTGTCGCATCCTCAGTGTGTTTATTTTTTTCACTACTTTTATTTTCTATTTTTATTTTCTAATTTGAATAGATGCAATAAAATTAAAGCACATTTTGTAAGCATAGCTGAAAGTGTATTCAGACTTAATTTAATGCTTCTATGTTTTTTCCCTTCACAGTCTCTAATATTTGATGAAGTTGACCTGTCAGATGCCAGTGTAGCTGAATCAAGCACAAAAAATGTCAACAACAGCTTCACGGTATGGAACATTTTTAACACTGTTTTTGAAAGCTGTGGATAGACTGTTGCTAAGAAAATTGAGGATCCTCTCAATTGCTTATTTTCCTCTGTTTGGAAATAAAATTTCTTTTTTTGGAAATGGTTTAATGTATGAGAACAATATCATGTCAGCTATAGAGCATTTTATTTCAGTGAGCAGAAATGTGAGATGACAGTTTCAAAAGATGATGGTAGAAGGCCTTAAAAATACAAGATTCAGTACTTAGTGCTTATTATGGGTTTCTGCTATAATTTCTCTTAGAGGTGACATGCTGAATTAAATCAAATGTAATTGTGTTTTTGTTTTAATTTTCTTAACATTTTTGTTTTCTTCCTATATTGAAATGTATTTTATTTTTTTTATTGCCAATCGTAGCCTTATATGTTTCTGTCACATGGAAAAGCTGTCCCTACAGTCTCACCTTGATTCTGATACTGCTATAAGAACATATAGTATTGATAAATCCCTATTTCTGTAAGTTCACAGGTATATTATTTACACAAATGATTCTTCATTTATTGTTCAAATGTCTCTTAGAACTAAGTGCTAATGTCTGACACAATTCCTCTGCTGATTCTTAACCTCTGGAGAAAAAGATTTTGAACGTGAGCTACTTATGAGGAATACCATTGGTGAAGTTGTCCTTTTGAAGGATATTTTGAGATGTCCCACTGACTGTAATGGTTCATTTCCCTTAACTACGTGTCTCTATTAAAAAGTTAATTTTTAATTTTCCTGACATTTTTAATTCCCCAGGTGACCCATATTAGTTCATATTACCAGTCTTGATTTTTCTTCTCGAAAGCAAATGCAAGCCTCATGAGAGGTTCATAGTTTCTTCTTGCTGTGGGATCTCCCATGCAGCTGCTGAAGCAGTCAGAGCACGTCAAAGACATGCTCATGTTGGCCTTGACAGCCCAGTGTGTTGTGTCAGTCTAAGCTGCTTTACTGACTAAGAATACAATTAAAAAGACTACTTTGACAGAAGGTCTCAGGTGAGGTGGTGGCTGTGTAAGGTACTAGCCTGTCTTTTGGAAAGGTTCTTTCTGTTGCCTAAAAGTTCTACTTCTTCAGAAAACTGGGATGCTTGGGCTTTTTACTTGGTGTTCTGGTATCCTTTGTAATCCATTAGGCCTATTCAGCATCTCATTCTTCACCAAAAGCATGTTTTCTTCTCTTATCATGACTTTTGGGGAAGACAGTAGTGAAAAAAGAAATCTCTGGCTACAGCTTTAACAGCTTCAGAGACACTGTTTATTTTCATGTCCTGGGTACTTTAGGGCAAACTGTTTTCTCTAAGGAGTCCTCAAATTAATTTTGAAAAATTATTTGGATGAAAGGCTCTCCTGGACTGAGGAGTTGTCTGATTTGACTGTGAAATATGGTAATAGTTGTCATCTTGCTTAATCTTTTGGCTTCTTTCTTTGTGTTTGCCTAACCCAGTCTCCCAGCAACTCAGCTCTGTGAGTGAGACATCTCTGACCTCGCCTGCACTGGGCTGGACTCAGGGGCTGGGGGTGGAGTGGGTAGTTAGCTATCCAGCAATACTCCCTATAAATAAAAATAAACTTTTCTTTTTTGCCTTTTTATTTTCTTCCTTAAAATAAAAGGAATTTTAAAATTCCTTTTATTAAAGGAATTTAAAAAGGTAATTCTGCCTTTCTTAAAATTATGGGTCTTTTTATTTATGTTCTAAGGGATCAGTTAGCATTCTATATGTTAAAAAACCCCAAAAATTAAATCATTAACATTAGCATTCTCTAGTTAATGCACTCTTGTTTCTTTGTCCCAGTAGATAATATTTTTAACACAAACTGATATAGATGGAATATACAACAAGGGACAGATTTTCCAGGAAAACACACCTTTACAAATTTATATTAGAAAAAAGATTTTAATTTTTTATTTAAAAAACATTTTGTCATTTCACTTAGATTGCCCCCTCTCCCCTCAATTTCCCACCTCCAGCTTGTAGAAATTACTGTTTTGCCTTCTTTGGCCTTGTCTAGTTTGTCTGTTTGAAGGCAGAGGTGTGTGTCAAGTTTTTCCATGCTCTTATTTTGGATAAAACTGAAGTCCTAAAATTAGTCATAACACACAGATTTAAGGCTGAGTTTATTTGTAATGCACAAGCTTGCAGAATATTTTATGTAACTAAATACCAGTGTTTGTTCACCAGAATTACTTTTGCTATCTCTCTGCAAACAAGTTGAGGTTAAAGGGAAATTTGAGGTACATAATATCTGCTAATTAAAATACAGAACTGATAAACTTTAATCAGCGCATTTGTTTCATTATTTTCCTTACTGCTGATGATATTACCTTTCAGTGAATGATCAACTCATTTCTAGCAATAAGTTTCTAGTGTACAACCTTGCTTTTTAAGAGTTTATAGGTGTTTTGTAGTTCTGAGCATCCTTACCTAGAGGTTAATAGGTAACCTAGAAGGAAGGGTATCCCTTGACTTCAGAACTGCCACATAAGACACTCAAGGCTGGATTCTTCTTATGGCCTTGTTAGGTACCAGTGTCCCAGGTCTGTGGGAAGAGGGTGAAGAGGTTCCAGCATCCAGTGAAATTTGGATCACCCTCTCCATCAGCCTCATCAGGAACCCAGGAAGGATTTTGTTCAGCCCATGGCCAGTTCAGTGGCATGGGTGAGTGCTGAGTCCTCACAGTGATGTTGGGCACTCTGCAGAACATGTTTTTCCCCAGAACTCTGCTTCTGCCTCGGGGGGTGGTTTGTGTTGTCTCAGTGCAGCCAGAGGAGTGTAGTTGCTCAGCATGTTACCCCTCTGGGGAGGCTTCTGGGATGAATCAGTCTCCCACCCTTATTGCACAGAAGCAGATGGGGCAGTGACCAATTCTGCTGAGAGCTGTAATTCCTTCTGCATTTTGGTTTGCAGGGATGGAATTTGGCTTGTTGGCACCTTTAGTGCATTTAGAAAAACCCTCTTTATTGTTCTCAAAATGAGATTGGAGACCAAATGGGGCTGAAGTGTGTTCTCTGGTGTGTAAGTGTGGGCTTGTAGAGCAGTGGTGGTGTACTTTTGTTCTAACAGGTATAAGGGATGAGATTTTAAAATGCTAAAAGGATTCTTGAGCAGGCATATTCAGACAATGAAGTTCCTCAAGGCAACAAAGGTGACTATGGATTGTGATTTAAAAGAAAATTATCTTAACTGAAATTTGGGCTTAAGTTTCTACCTCTGCCTTGCTTTTGATGCTGAAGAACTGATGCACATTGCTGAGGAAAAAAATCTGTAGATGTTAAGCATGCTGCCCCTCAGTAGCTGAGCCACATGGTTGTATAAAATACTCTGGGTACTCTGAATCTGTGTTAGAGTCACATGTTAAATGCACAGGCTTCATGTGGCAGCATCTGTATTTTAATCCATCCAAACTTTTTTTTGAAACTCTTAATTCAGTTATGGGTTTTTTGATGGCAAATGTGATGGAAAATAATAATATGGTAAAATACTAGTTTTGAGGCACTACTTTGTATAGCTGGCTTAATCTAATTGCATCTAAGAGTGACAGAGGAAATAATTTCACTGTCATTCTGGAAGGTTCCCTCCAGGAATATGAGAGTTAACAAACAATGTGATACTCAGGATGGGGATTCAGCTTGTCCTAACTTCTAGGTAGGACTTCATGATGGGTTTATAGGCCCCTAAATTTAGGCATCTAAAATAAAATAAACAGGTCTTCAAAGCAATTTCTGTAATTGCTCAGTTCAGTTTAGACTCCAGTGATTTATTACCCGACTCTCCCTTAGCTACAATAGCAGCTTTGTCATCCAGGGCACCTAAAATGTAGGTGCTTGCTTTCAGCTTTCTGAATCAGGTGCTGAATCAAGTGCTTTTTGTTGAATATGCATCTTCTGAAAGTTGTCATCTTCAGCACGAGGAAGCTGCAGTAGGCAGATCTGCTGTCCTGGAAAGCCTACTGTAATTTTTAGTGATTAGAGACTGGCTGGAAAGGAGACTTTATGTTCCAGCTAATAATGCTGATTACTAGGATTCTGGATATGCTTGCAGAAATGTATAACATAGTATATTTTTGCTGATGTATTGGTTTTAGCAATGCTTTAGACCATATAGACCATAGAGTCCTGATTATTTATTCTGTGAAAAAAAATTCTTCTTTGGAGAACTTTTAAAGTGCTGGGCTTTAATAAATTTTCTCACCTGGTTTTATGATGCAAAGACAGTAGAAACTAATAAACTATTTCAGTTTTATATTTTAAATTTTATATTACCTCCATTTGATTTAATTATTTTCCAAGATAATTAATATTTGTCAATATTCTTCTATACTCTTACTTATACTTGCTGTTCTCCTGATTGTTACTCTGCAGCATCATCTTGTGAGTGTTGTTACATGCTTGACACTCAAGGAAGCCCAAGTCACAGACATCTGGGATTATTTTATAAATTAATTTGCATTCCTTATGGATCCCAAGTTTTGTCTGTTTTCTGCAGTGGCCTAGTGTGAATTTTTGTGTCCCCTATTTTGGTACTAACATCCTTCATCTGTTAATTTGGAGCTGTCTGTAACTCATAAATATTTAATCTGTGCTTCTGTGGTGTGTATTTCTTTGTTTTTACTAACGCTGAAATTTTTCAAGTCACTGTACTCTCTACTTAATACATTGCTTGGCTCACTTTGAAGTGCCTTGGAGATCAAGAGGGGGAACTAAGTAATCAAAATTTTGTGCTGTCTGCAAATATTCCTGTATTGCTACTTTACACTTCTCTTCCAGTTTAAGAATCATGCCACAAAATTCTGTTGGAGAATAACAAGCTGCTTATTATCTATTAATCTTTTTTCATATTAAAAATTCTTTTTATTCCTTCTTACTTTTTTTTATCCCCTAGCCTTTCATCTCATTGCATGATGGTCTTTTTAGTTTTATAATTGGTCTTTTCAGTTCAATGATTGATTAAACATGATTATGGATCAGCCTGATTTAACTTT